CTCATCAGGTTGTGCCTAGGCAATGAGTGCTAACTCCAGGAGGAAAGAAAGCTACCTTCAAAGTCTAAGCATTGATTTAAAAAAAAGGCTCAAGTTAACATATGAGTAGCACTCAATACTATAAAACTAGAAGAAATAAGAACAGGGGTTAGGGAGGCTGTTTGTCCCCTTGGCCCAGCTTCACCATTCAATAGGATCATGGCTGATCCAACATTCCTCATATTCAGTTTACTGCATTTTCCTCATAACTCTTGATTCCCTTATTGATTAAGAATCTATCTATCTCAGCCTTAAATATACATAAAGACTTTGCCCCAACAGCTGTCTGTGTCAAGGAGTTCCAAAGAGGTTCAAACGTCAGAGAAGAAATTCCTCTTCGTCTCAATCTTAAATTGGGGACCCTTTATTTTGAGACTATGTCCTCTGGTCCTAGACTTTTCCATGAGGAGAAATAATCCTCAGAATTTACCCTGTCAAGCCCCTTAAGAATCCTATGATTCAACAAGATCATAGAGTCATACAGCACAGAAACAGACCTTTCAGCCTATCTTACCTAAGCCAAGCAACAAACACCGAACTATACTGATCCCATTTACCTGCATCCGGTTCAGATCCTACTATGCTCTGGCATTTTAAGTGCTTGTTTAGATGCTTCTCAAATACTTGCCTCCACTATCCTCTCAGACAGCACATTCTATATTTCAACCACCCTCTGGATGAAAGATCTTTTTCCTCAGATTCCCTCTAAACCACTTGTGCCTCATCTTAAACCTATGGCCTCTGGCCTTAGACATTTCTGTCACTGGGGAAAAGATTTTCATGATCTACCTTACGTATGCCTCTCATAATTTTGTATATCTCAATCTGATCCTCCCTCAACTTCATCTGCTCCAGAGAAAACAAACCCAGCCTATCCAGTCTTTCCTCAAAGCTGAGACTTTCCATCACAGACGCCATTCTGGTGAATCTTCTCTAAGCCCTCTCCACTTTAATCATGCCTTTCTGATAGTGTGGTGACCAGAATTGCACACAGTATTCCATCTGCGGCCTAATCAATATTTTATAAAGCTGCAACAAGACTTAATTCCTATTTTCCACAACGGCTAAGTGCAAGCATTCCATAGCCATCTTCATCATCCTGTCTACCTGTACTGACACCTTCAGGCAACTGTAGACTTGTACATCATGTCCCTTTCTTACTCAGTCTGCCCTACAGGGCCTACCATTCATTGTGTAAATCCTTCTCTTATTAGACCTCCCAAAATGCATCACCTCACACTTTCCTAGATTAAATTCTATCTGCCACTGTTCACTTTACCAACTGCTCAATAACAGAGATCATCCTCACTATGACCAACACCATCAATTTTTGTGTCATCTGAAAAATTACAAATTATATCTTCTTTATTCATATTCAAGTCATTAATATACATAACAACAGCAAGGTCCCAGCAGCAATCCCTGTGGTACACTGCTGGTCACAGATTTCCAAACACAAAAACAACCCTGAGGAACGGTCACCAGACTCGAAACGTTAACTCTGTTTTCTCCTTCACAGATGCTGCCAGACCTGCTGAGCTTTTCCAGCAACTTTGTTTTTGTTCCTGATTTACAGCATCTGCAGTTCTTTCTGTTTTTACAAAAACAATCCTTCTGCCATCATGCTTTGTCTCCAATTTGCAAGTCACTACCCTTATCAATATATTTAGTCACCTTTTCAAAAAGCTCAATGAAATTAGTCAGATGGGATCTTCCTCCAACAAATCCATGCTGACTGTCCCTAATCAATCCCTGCCTTTCCAAGTGTTGATTCATCCTGTCCATCAGAAATTTTTCCAATAATTTCCTGACCACTGACATCAGACTAACTAGTCTGTGGCCTATCCCTGCTGCCTTTATTGAATGAAGGAACCATATTAGCTATCCTCCAGTTTTCTGGCACTTCACCTGTGGCCAGTGAAGTATCATTCTCATTCTTTTAACTCCTGTGAGTAGAATCCTAACTTGTTTATCCTTTGCTTATTAGACACATTTAAAGTGCATGGGACTGGGGAAAGTGTATTGAGATGGATAGGAAACTGGTTCGTAGAGAGGAAAGAAAGAGTAGGAATTAATGGGTCCTTTTCAAATTGGCAGGCAGTAACTAGTGGGGTGCCACAGGGATCAGTGCAGGGACCCCAGCTATTCACAATATATATTAATGATTTGGATGAGGGAACAAAATGTAACATCTCCAAGTTTTCAGATGATACCAAGTTGGGTGGGAGGGTGACTGTGACAAGCATAATATTCAGCATGATCTCGACAGGTTGGGTGAGTAGCCAAATCAATGGCAGAGGCAGGGTAATTTGGATAAACATGAGGTTATTCACATTGGAAGCAAAAACAAGGAGGCAGATTACTATCTGAATGGCTGTAGATTGGGAGAGGGGAGTGTGCAGCGGGACCTGGGTGTCGTTGTGCACCAGTCACTGAAGGTAAGCATGGAGGTGCGGCAGGCGGTAAAGAAGGTAAATGGTATGTTGGCCTTCATTTTGAGACGTTTCAAGTACAGGAGAAGAGATGTGTTGTTGCAGTTATACAGGGCCTTGGTGAGGCCACACCTGGAATTTTGTTGCAGTTTCAGTCCCCTTTTCTGAGGAAGGATGCTCTTGCTCTCGAGGGAGTGCAGTGAAGGTTTACCAGGCTGATTCTAGGGATTGCGGGTCTGACGTATAAGGAGAGATTGACTAGGTTAGGATTGTTTTCGCTGGAGTTCAGACGAATGAGGGGGATCTTGTAGAGACTTATAAAATTCTAACAGGACTGGACAGGGTAGATACAGAGAGGATGTTCCTGATGGTGGGTGTGTCCAGAACCAGGGGTCACACTATGAGGATTCGGGGTAGACGATTTAGGACGGAGATGAGGAGACATTTCTTCACCTTAAGAGTGATGAGCCTGTGGAATTCATTACCACAGGAAGTAGTTGATCCCAAAACATTGAATATATTCAAGAGGCGACTAGATATAACACTTGGGCGAATGGGATCAAAGGTTATGGGGAAAAAGCAGGATTAGGCTGTTGAGTTGGATGATCAGTCATGATCATAAAGAATGGTGGAGCAGGCTAAAAGGGCCGAATGGCCTCCTCCTGCTCCTACCTTCTATGTTTCTACGACACCTCCATACTGGGGATCATCCTTCTGATCATCTCCAAATTGCCTCCAATAAAATGATATATTTCCTTAAATAAGGAGACCACAACTGCTCAGAGTACTCCAGATGTGGTCTCACCTCGTACAGTTACAGTAGGACCTCCCTACTCTTATGCTCCAACACCCTTGAAGTAAGGGCCAACATTCCATTAGCCTTCTTGATTATCTGTTGCACATGTGCTACCTTGTTGTGTTTTGTGCACAAGTATCCCCATGTGCCTTTTTGCAGTTTTTCTCCATTCAAATTATATTCTGTTCTTTTGCTCTCCCTTCCAAAATGAACAACTTCACACTTTTCCACATTATACTCCTTTTGTCAACTTTTTGCCTCATCATGGTTTAACTACTCTGCCATTTCCTTGTTGCCCATAGTTGACTCCTCAGATTCATTTTCTAACGGGCCGATGTTACCTTTGACCTCTCTCTTCCTTTTTATATATTTAAAGATGCTCTTATTGTCAGTTTTTATATCCTTTGCCAGCTTGCTTTTGTAATTTATTTTCTCTGTCTTTCCTTTCTTTTCAGTTCTTCTTTGCTGAATGTAGCTTTAACCTTTTCAATCACAGCAAGAGATAGCATCTTTCATACTTACGATTCTCCAATCTTTTGCTGCATAAAGTATTTATCTAATTCACTTTGAAAGTTGCCTATTGGATCTGCTTCCATGATTCTTTCAGGCAGAATAATCAAGATCAGACTGTGGCATGAAACAAAAATCTCCTAATCTGCCCAGGTTCTTTGCCAATTATTTTAAGTCGATGTCCTGTGATTAGTGACCTTCTTGTTAGTAGAAATACTGTCTCCTGGTCTAGTCTATCAAAATTTCTCATAATTTTGTCACCTCTATTAAATTTCTGTTTAACCTTCTCTCTGCTAAAGAGAATATCCCTGTTCTCCCCTGGAGCCCCTGCTGAAATTCCTCATCCCTTTGTTCATGGGATATAGGTATCACTGCCTAGGCCCATGTTAGCATCCATCCCTCAGTGTCTAAAGGGCAGCTAAGAGTCAACCACATTGTAATGGGTCTGGAGTCACATGTACGCCAGACTAGTTAAGAATACCTTCTTTCTTTCCCTGTAGGACATTAGTGAAATAGGTAGATGTTTATGAGAATCAACAGTAGTAACACAGCCTTCAAAAGGCTAACTTTTAGTTACAGGTTTCTACTGAATTCAAATTTCACCATCTGCCATGGTGGGAGTTGAACCCATGCCCTCAGAAAATGTCCTGGGATTCTGAAGTGCCAGTTCAGTGAAATTACCACTGTCCTTTGCACCTATAATTCTAAAGAAATGAAACAATATTCTGACAGCCCTCCTTTGCCATTTCTGTTATTTGCAAATTTGATTTTCTGGCTACCTTTTTGATTGCCAGAAAATTACAGATTGAATTGCTTAAGGAATAAATCCCAAATCCACATCCGGAAACTTCAAGAGAGACTGTTACAGTTCAGGTATTACGCTTGCTACAATACATCATGTTAGTCTTAGTTCCTTTTCACAGTTGTGTCGCAAAGTTAAGTCTCCATGGCCGACTCCAGAGATTTACACCAAGTTCATAAAAGGTGCTACGTAGATGTAAGTCCTCTCTTTTTTAATGCTCCTATCGTTAATTTTATGTGAATGATGCCTTGGGATAACTAGGGGTTAAACATAAAGTGATACTAAACAATAATGTTTCACGCAAATTTCGATTAGATTAAATGTTCAGAATTATAAAATTCTGAATACTTGAAGGAAATGATATGGCAAACTGTGGCAACATTGTTGCATCTAATAACACAAAACGTAGTTCTGTACTTACACATTTTCTGGACAGAGATATGACCGTTCCTAAAAGGTGATGATTGTTGTGAATTGTGCCCTTTTTCTTCCTGAGGTTTACCTGACAATTAAACAAAAAAAACAAACAACTAATTCCTCATGCAAAGCTCATAAGTTCTATAAATAGCAACTGCTACATTGCAATTGTTAATGTCTTCACTCAGGTACGTATTGATTTTATGCCATACATAAATTAATGTGCCCGCTTGTACTTATTAATTGTTTAATTTTTAGGACTCCATTCATTCTCCTGTTGGAAAGAGGATAATACTTTAACGAGATTCAATCTGTCCTTTTTAATCCTTCTTCCCATTCCAAGCATAAACAAACCTTATTAAGATGATATTGTTGAAAGCAAATTACCATAAATTTGCTTTAACACTGAGTGTTGCTTCGCTGCCCTTGTGCAGGAACTTCTGCTGTTGAATGTTTGGCTGCTTTTTCTGGAAATACCATTCAGGACACTGCCACTGAGATTCTTCCTCCAGATTAGTTGGATGGTGAAGGCAGCCACTTCTTGCTTCCATGTCTTGTCAACGTTGTCCCCATTCTGACATCGCCAGCGAAGGAGCAATAACAGGGTTTTACGTATCCTGTAACTACAAATATAAATACAGTACTAACGCTTTTAGGAACACTACAAACTACATTACCATATGGCTAGTCCCAAGAACAAGTATCCTATTTTCCACTCCCTCCAATAAACATCTACTTCTAAAATAAGTCACTCAGAGATAGCAAGAACTGCAGATGCTAGAGTCCTGATGAAGGGTCCAGGCCTGAAGTGTTGACTTTCCTGCTTTAATTCTGCCTGACCTGCTGTGTTCCTCCAGCTCCACCACTGTATTGACCCCAATTCTAAAACAAACACGGAGAACACTGGAGAAACTCACCAGGTCTGGAAGCATCTGTGGAGAGAAATCGAGTTAACATTTTGTGTGTGGTGGGGCTATTTCATTCTGCTTTGTTTTCTTTCACACTTTTTTACTCCATTGGTAGCTCATTCTATGTATTCACCACTCTGCATATAAAGTAGGTAAAGATAAATAGCCTATATATCTCCTCTAATCTAAATGGTGTAATGAGAATTAAATAAGATTTTATAAAAGGGTGACAACAGGAGTAAGATGACACCTTACAAGTTCACATTGTAAGCTACATTTTAGCAGCATGAATCAGGGTCCACACTAACAGAAATGACAGGAGAGGAATCTTGTACAGCCCAAGGTCTGTATCAGCCTTGAGAGTAAACAAGAGAGCATAAACAGATTCCCATGATAACAGAAAGACCTTGGACTGAAGATTTCTGTTTAATGTACAAGAATGAAATATAAACAACATTTGCAAGAGAATAAAGATTGATGGTTGTTGTTTGTATGGGACAGAGATTGAGCAGGGGTGGGACAGATCTGGAAAGAGCCAGACAGAATATCAGACGGAGTTTTGTTCAAAGGCTTAAGACAGAGTATCTCTCTGGGTTACCTGAACAAATACAAAGTTAACCTGCATTCCTGAGTCCTCCCGAGGTTTGTGTAGGAGATTAAAATCAACAATGGTGTCATGAACAGGAGAGTCGTACCAGGTCGTTGGGTTAGCCCTGAAAAGGGGTGAGTACATTTTATTTACCAGCCACAGTTCATCGTGCAGTAAGCCTAACTGAGAAGAGTCAACTATCTAAAGAAGCTGAGAGGCCTCAGGATAGAAGGTGCTGAGTAGAGGAGGCAAAGCCATGCTGGTGGGCTGTTATATGATTGCAGACAGTAGCTGAAGCTGCACAGATTAGGATAGACCACTCATCAGTAAAAACGTTGCTGAAGTGTAGCAGGGGAAAATTACCCGAGAAGACGATAAATGGGACAATCCCACAGGAGTCGAGTTTTAATTGGTTTCAAACTCGAGAAACAACAGTCTTTGTTTGAAGTTATGATAGTATTGGGAATATTTAATATGCAACTGATAGCTTAATGGAAAAGTTAGGATCGTTGGTAGTGAATATAGAATATCCTTTATTGTCACTTGTACTACAATACAGAAATATAGGAGTACAGGGAAAGTTTTTACAATGGCTGCCTTTTAATGGTGCCATGTTAGGTACAAGTACCTAGATACAAATATTACAGAGTAAAAAAAAATTGTGGTCTTACACAAAGAGGTTTAAAGGAAACCGTAAGCATTACTTACAGAGGTAGTTACAACACAGTAAAAAGGTTTTAGTGGAAACAGTACTGGAAATTGTAGAATTTTGAATGTGTCATTGACAGTCTTTTGAAAGAGATTATGAAAGGAATAAAAGAGCTAGAAAAAGACCAGAATAAGCTAGCCTACAGTGCACATTTGTGTACTTTACAGATGGATAAAGAAAAAAAACAGCAGGAATTTGTTAAAAAAGCTGCAGGATATAAATCATGACTGCACGAAAACAGTGTTCCATACAATGCAATGCATTACACAAGTAATAAACTGTGGGCAGACCCCACACTGCAGCTGGATATGCTGGATATTGATTTACAGACTTCTCCCCTGATTTAGCTCAAATCAAATGTGTCAAGACCAGACAGCAGGGAGGGGTGAACATATAGAATGAGCTACCAATGGAGTAAAAAAGTGTGAAAGAAAACAAAACAGAATGAAATAGCCATACCACACACAAAATGTTAATTTGATTTCGCTCCACAGATGCTTCCAGACCTGGTGAGTTCTGTGTGTTTGTTTTAGAATTAGATGTTTATTGGAGGGAGTGCAAAACGAGGTAGGTAATCTTGAAAACATAGTTGAGAGTACGTTCCCATGAAAGGGTAGTCCTCAAGCATCACAGATTCAAAATGGGCTGGATCAAAATAGTGAATTTCTCAGTGATATAAAAAAGAGAATTTCTTGTTGTGAAGAAGTTCAACACATTCCAAAACAAAATTCCAAACAGATAAGTTTGGCAGACAATCAATTTGAACATACATGCATTTGTTCTAGTTTGCAGAAGAAAAAAGTGTAAACAAGAGATATGAGTGAGAAAAATCTAAACTGAAGCGTGTAATATTACAACATGTTGTCGCTGGGTGAATATTTTGCCCCGTCGTTTCTCAGAACAGCAGAGAATTAACCTTTTCTGTTGACCGCTTTTGAAAAATCTTACCTCACACCTTCTACATGCTTAATATTGGACAGGACTGGGTTTTGTTTTCTGAATGTACATAAATAATCAGATGTTACTAACTCTTTGGGCTTGAAACCAAAGCCACAGCGATTTTTATTTTTGTGTTTCCAATAGGTCTCAAGAATCATCTGATGACACGGCAAGACACCTAAGAGCCTTGCAGATTTAGGAATTTACCTATGAATCTCAAAAGTTAAAGATTTTCACAGAGTTGGCCTTTACCAGTCAGGTCATTTGCTTTCTTCAGAGAAAACGACCAAGCCTGGGCATAAGTACATTATATGTGATGTCTACTGATTCCTTTAGCCCTAAGAATTATATCTAACTCCTTCTTAAAAAATGTTCAACATTTTGGCCTCAATTGCTTTCTGTGACAGAGAATTCCACAGCCTCTCCACTCTCTGGGCGAAGAAATTTCTCATCTCAGTCCTAAATGTCCTACTCTATATCCCTATATTGTGACCCCTGGCTCTGAACTCCCCGGTCGTCGGAAACTTCCTTTCAGTGTTTACACTGTCTGGGCCTGTTAGAATTGAGAGGTTTTTGAGCTGCCCTTCATTCTTCCAAATTCCAGTGAAATAGTCCTAACCAATCCAGTACCTTTTCATACATGAGTTCTACCATCCCAGGAATCAATCTGATAAACCTTTGGTATATTCCCACTGTAGCCAGAACATCCTTCCTCAGATAAGGAGACTAAAACTGCACACAATACTACCATTAAGGCTCTGTATGATTGCAGCAAGATATTCCTGCTCCTGTATTTGAATTCTCTCGCTATGAAGTTCAATATACCACTTGCCTTCTTCACCACCTGCTGCACTCATATGCTTACTTTCAACGACAGGTGTACAAGGACACCCAGGTCTTATTACACCAACCCTTTTCCCAATCAATCACAATTCAGATAATAATCAGTGTTCGTTTTTGCCACCAAAGTGTATAATCTCACATTTATCCACATTATACTTCATCTGCTTTGCATTAACTTGTCCAACTGTATTGAAGCATCTGTGCATCTATCTCAAAGAACAGCCTCCCACCCAGCTTTTTGTCATCTGCAAATGTGGAGATATTACATTTATTTAAATCATTAATATATGTTGTGAACAGCTGGCGTCCAAGCACTGATTCCTGTGAAAACCCGTCAATCACTGCCTGTCACTCAGTAAAAGACCTGTTTATTCCTAAAGTTTAGGAATTAGTTCTCTATCCATGTCCGTTTGTTACCCCAATTGTTGGCTGGTGTATTGACTTCTACCTAGCAGAGGCTGAATGCCAACTTTCCAATACTGGCCTGTATCTCCCCATGGACCATGACTTTATTAATGAAGATCAAGCCATTGTGTTGCTGGCCTCATTTCCACAGCAGCTTCTACAGTTTCCACCCTCATTTTCCTTCCACCCTGAAGAAACCAAACTTACCTCTGTTCCAAATTCCATAAGCAAGATTGCCCTTCCTGCCATATTCAATCTATTTCTTCCTAACTTGACTCCATTGTTTCTCCTCTTCTACTGACTCCTCCTTCCCATTCCCAAAACTCTTCTGATGGCTTACATTATTTCAACAGTTTTCAGTTTCCTTGCCCTAAACATTTCCTCTTCATTTGAACATCCAAATCCCTCCACACCTCCATTTTTAACCATGACTGACACAAGGTTCTTGGCTTCTTTCTAAAACAGAGGCCCAATCAGCCCCGATTCACCATCACACTTCTTAGCCTAGCTGACCATGTATTCACTCTGAACAACATTTCCTTCGACTCAATTTATTTTCCCCAAATAAAAGGTGATCCTTTGGTAACTCACAAGGGTCCGAGCTATGCTTGCTTTTTTCGTATGGTATGTGCAACATTCACTATTCCTGTCCTAGCTGGGGCTCCTCCTGCATTATCTCTCTTACCAGAACACTGGCGATTGTAAGGGTACTACCTCCTGCTCCTGCCTTGAAAATTATGTTGACTTTGTTTCCAATTTCCATCTTTTGCTCACCGGCAGCCAGTCCATCTTCAACTTTTATGTCTTTATTTCTGGAGATCGGCTACCAAATAATTTCACTACAAACTCATGGACTCCAACATGTAACTTGCTTGAGTATACTTCCTCACATCTTGCATCATGTTAAGGACACCATTCCATTTTCCCAGCTTTTCCATGTGTTTTGATGAAACTGTTCTCCACATCAGTGCTTTTGATAGGTCTTCCTTTTTCCTCAGGCAAGGATTCCCACCCATCGTGGTTTATAGGTCACTCCACAATGTCCAATCCACATTCACATAATTCTGTCCTCATCCCTTCCAATTCCTCCAAAATGACAATTGGGTTCCCCTCATGTTCGCCTTCAATTCCACTAACCTTCACATTCAACAGATCATCCTCACCATTTTCATCAACTCCAGCACCAAACACATTTTCCTCTTCTCGTCCTTTCAGTGTCCTGAAGGAACC